GTCTGGACTATGCGTATCAAGACCATTGACAAAATCCCTGACATGTACCCATTCGATGCAAGTAGAATCTCTCCCTGTCCCCTCTCATCCCAGGTTGTGACAGCCAAAAATGTCTCCAAACATTGCCAAATGTGTGATATGGGACAAAACTGTATCTTATTGAGAACCAGTGGAATTGACAGATTTTTTTATGTGGCACAAGATTGCATATGGATGAGTGTGTGTGTGTGTGTGTGTGTGCATAATATGCATAATATTTTTGTATTATACGTTAAATTTTGTGTTTGTAATTCGTAAAATAACAAAATGGATCATGCCAAAAGTAAGCACAGTAATGTTGAAGCTCATACAATAAATACATATTTATTCATAAAATTCATGAAAGGCTGATCAGATAAGAAATCATGAGAAAATATGTTATTATCGGAAAAAAAAACACTGATAAAAATGCTTTCCAGAACTGAAAAATGCAGCTATCAGGGGTGATGAACTGACAGAATTCAGCTAAAATCTAATTAGAAGTATTCTATAGGACAAATAGAAGACTACTTGAATTTGTGTTTTAATCATTTTTTGGTGTTTTTTCTTTTTTTATTCTTCAAGGCAGAATATGCTTAAGCTCATACTGGGCTTATTTCTGTATAATTCTAGAATGATGAAATGAGTCAGAGAATTGCATAAACTCCCTGGTGAATTCACCATCTGCCCATGCTCTCTGAATATTTTCTGACTGAAGTCATTGAACAAGTAAAGTTGAAGGCATAGCTGAACAGAAAGAAACAATGAGAATGTAAAACAAAGAGAACATGTAAATATCAAAACACTTGCTGATTTAGGAGCCCATATTGAATCTTGCTTTGGGGAAATTTGTCAATGTGCCCAGAGCTTCCTCCAGCTTCAGAAGAACTCCCTGCTGTGATGAAAACTTTTGGTGATACACATTGCCATCAGATTCATCTTTAGCACAAATAGCTAGCTGAATTAAACAACAGCAAAAGAAAAAGAAAGTCCTAAAGTAATGCTACCATTGTTGAACTGGCCAAGCCATACACAAAGAAAAACTTATAGTACAGAGGCCTAAAGTTATATTATTGTTCAAATGCTGGCTTTCACAGTGATTTCCAGGTCACTTTCCTGTGACAGTTGTTTAACCTAATCAAATACCTTTAACAGGCCATTTGTCCGTCTACCATCTGCAGAAATACATGAAAATTCTTAAATCCCCTCTGTTCCCCATCCTTTGTGAAACATTCATTTCTGTCATGTTCATATATAGAACATGATAGTATTCATGTATACTTAAAATAGCCAATGCAGTTCTTAACAAGCTACAGACCAAAACCTGTCTATTTACTTCTCAAAATTTTCAGCTTAATCCTGACTTAAACAAAAAAGATTGAGGCATATAAATAAACTCCACTTCAACAGAGACATCGTTAGGAGAGGCATGAACAAAATTAGTTCTGACTGTATTGATCCAAACAGAAAAAGGAAGAGTGTAGAATTGGTCACACAAAATTCTTCATTGCTGCACAGACCAGGGCTCATCAAACTAAGTTCTCTGGGCTAAATTCAGGCCACAATCTGTTTTGTAAGTAGAGTTTTACTCTAATGCAGTCATGCCAATTAATTTACATATTATCTACAGCTGTCTTTGTTCTGTACAGAGAAAGTGGAGTAGTTCTGAAGAGACATTATGGTCTGCAAAGCCTAAAATATTTACTATTTGGCCCTATGTAGAAGATAGTTGCCAGTTCCTGGCATAGAATATCAAAGGGAAGGGTTTGTAGAAATAATCAAATCCTTTCATTTTAAGAAGGGTGTAAAAACGGAGCCCTAGCTTGTCTAAAGTCATACATTTTATGAACAAGAAAGTAGTTACTAGATGCCAGGTTTCCTGATGTCCATTGGGAGAAATGGATATTGCCTCCCAGAATTATAGCTAAGGTCCACAGTTATTCAGAGTTCATATTTCAGCCTATTCTATTATTATAATTCACAAAAGTTTTTGTTTTTTTAGACAGAAGTATGAAAAGACAAGTCTATGCGTTAATGGTTCTTTGTTTTTTTTTGAGATTAGATGAGACAATGTACATATCTGTGTAGCCCAGCACCCAACACAAGTTAAATTCCTTTCTACTTTCATTTTTCCAGATGAGGAAACAGGTTTGACAGGTGCACTGATTTGTACTGAGGCCATATATGCAGTAAGAGTTAGAATGTAGAATTCGCCTTTGATGTTTAAGATTCCAAGTTTGGTCTTCATTCTATAATGCTAAATAAACAATTTAAATACAGATTATTAGGATTTAGGAATCAGTTGGAATAATGATTTCTCCTTCTGCTGCTTATTAATGGTTTCTTAACTAGGAATGTGAAAAGTCACCTCTCTCTTGCACTGTAATGTCCTGTGATGAGAAAAGGAAGCAGAGAAACACCCACGTCACTGTCAGTTGTGGTGATCATCTACATTCCTGTGCTTTGTACTTGTTGTAGTTTCTAAACAAAATAAAGTATCCTATTTGTAAGCAATAGCAAGAGTAAGTTAATGCATAATGAATGATCTAAATAAAACAAATCTCACATGGAAATAGGAAAAACGAAACAACTTCCTTCATGCTGGTGGCTCTTGCTAAAGCTCTTCTCTTCTACTTCTACATACACCCCTGTGCCATTGCTTGCATTTCAGAATGATGAATCACTTTGCACAAATGTGGACCAAGGCTTAAGTACAGAAGGCAAGAAAACTAGCAAAGATATAACCACAAATATTCAGTGGAGAGAGAATGAGGTACTGAATTAAACAAAAATGAAGTTAGAAAAGAAGATGAACTTTTTTGAAGATATTAACCATATAAGAACGTTAAATCTCTTCTAAGACAACATGGTGGTGAGGGAGTGAGATGCCAACAAAAATTAAGGATAAAACTCACACAAATTTTCATTATGACTTTGATAGAGATGGTGGAGACATACAAAGAAAAGTTAACAATGACTATCAGTTTCCTAGTGTTGCTGTAACAAATTACTACAAACTTAGTGGTTTAAAATAGCAAAAATGTATTATCATACAATTCTAGGAGTCAGAAGTATTAATGGACCTCATTGGAGAGAAATCAAGGTACACAGAGCTATATTCTTTTTGAGGATGGTAGGGGAAAATGTGGATTATTTGCCTTTTCCACCTTCCAGAGGCTACCCACATTCCTCGGTTAAGGGCCCCGTTTTCCATCTTCGGGCCAGCAATGGCAGACATGGCCTCTCACAATGTCATCTCTTTAATTATCTTTTATTATGCATATTTATTTCACTTTTAAGAACCCTTCTGACTACTTTGGCCATACCAAGACAATTTTACTATCTGTTTATAAGTAACATTAATTCCATCTGTAACCCTAATTCCTCTTTGCCATGTAATGTAACAGATTTATAGATGACAGGGATTAGGACATAGATATCTGCAGACAGGGTCCACTTCTCTGCCTACCAGAGTGACTTCTCAAATTCTTACTTGGTTAACTGAGATATTGTTGTAGTGTAAAATGTACAACTCATGCTGAGTAAAATCTAGAGTTCTGACAGTGTCCTATATGGTTCTCTATGTACTTAAGGACTATGACCCTGAATTAAGACTGAATTTGAGTAATGCACTGCCACTTAATAGCCTGGTAAACATATATATATACACATATGTATATATATATATATATACACACACATATGTATATATATATATATATATACACACACATATGTATATATATGTATCGCAGCTCTGATTTCCTCATGTGTAAAATGTGAAAAACATCCATCTCTAACAAATAAGGTTATGGTGAAGATAAAATAAGATAATGATACAGTGTTAAGCATAGTGTCCCACTCGAAGAACTTTAGATACTAATTAGCACTGAATAGTAAGGCAGATGAAAGAAAGCTGGGATTTAATTTTTAGTACATAGATTTCAGTTACGTGAAAGACATCCAATCACATTTATCTCCTGTATTAGTCCGTTTGCACACTGCTATGAATAAGTACCTGAGATTGGGTAATTTATAAAGAAAAAAGATTTAATTGACTCACAGTTCTGCATTGCTGGGGAGGCCTTAGGAAACTTATAATCATGGTGGAAGGCACCTCTTCACAGGGCGGCAGGACAGAGAATAAGTAAGAGCAGGATAAATGCCACACACTTATAAAAGCATCAGACCTTGTGAGACTCACTCACTATCATGAGAACAGCATGAGGGAAACCTCCTCCATGATCCAATTACCTCCACCTGATCCTGCCCTTGACACATGTGGATTATGGGGATTACAATTCAAGACAAGATTTTGGGTGAGGACACAGCCAAACCATATCATCTTCCTAGAACCTACTTTTCCACTTTCCTAGAGGACCATATTATACTTTCTTTTCTCTTTTTCATCTTTTAAAAGCTCTTTGCCTATGCTCATGCTCTGCAAAAGCTAGAAACAGAATTTTCCAAAGCTCTTACTTCTTCATCTAGACACCCACCTGTGATTATGGCCATGTATTCTACCTTCTTTCTTGTTGCTATATGTGATTGTCCATGATCCTGACTAACTACAGAGCTCACTCCCATTTATGCACTAGATCCTGTCCCTTATTGCCTACTCAAGCAATAGCTCCCTTCTCTTCTGCATCATCAAATTCTCCCCTACTATCATTTGAATGTGTTCCCCAAGGTTCATGTGTTGAAAACTTGGAGTGTTGGGAGGTGGGTTATAATAACAGATGACTGAGTCAGGAGGACTCTGCTTTTTCTTTTCTTTTCTTGAGATGGAGTCTCACTCTGTCGCCCAGGCTAGAGTGCAGTGGCACAATCTTGGCTCACTGCAACCTCTGCCTTCCTCGGCTCAAGTGATTCTTCTACCTCAGCCTGCCAAGTAGCTGGAATTACAGGCACCCACCACCATGCCTGGCTAATTTTTGTATTTTGGGTATAGGTGGGGTTTCACCATGTTTACTAGGCTGGTCTCAAACTCCTGACCTTGTGATCCACTCGCCTTGGCCTTCCATAGTGCTGGGATTACAGGCGTGAGTGCCTGCACCTGGCCAGCTCTGCTTTTACAAATAAATTAATGTGATCATTACTGGAGTCAGTTAGTTATGATGAGAGTGGTTTAACCTCACCTTATCTTGCCTTTCTGCCTTTCACCATGAGTTGACACAGCATGACGCTCCTGCTAGATGCCAGGACCATGGTCTTGGTCTTCTTAGCTTGCAGAACTGTAACACAATAAATTTTTATTATACATTTTCCAATCTATGGAATTTTATTATGGTAACATAACACAGACAAAAGCAACCCATCTCTGCTAGATCATTGCCTTTAGTATACAGCATTTCAATATTGCTCTCATTGTGTTTACAAAAAACCTCTACATTTACCTAATTTTAACTTCCGACAAATGCCCCATTTTCTTCTTCTCTTTACAGAAAAACTCGTTGAAACAGCTATCTGGATTCCTTGTCAGAATTGTATCTCTTCTTGTTTTCTCTTGAACTATCCAAATAAGATTTTTACCACACCATTCCAGGGACGCTGCTCTTATCCCAGGTTGCCAAATAATATTTATATTGCTAGATGTAGTAATTATTTATGTCTTCATCTCATTTGAGCCATCAGCAGTATTTGATACAGTTGATGACCCCTGATTTCTTCAAATATTCTTCTCAACTGGCTTCTAAGACATCACACTCATTTTGTTTTCCCTGAATTTTTGACCAGTCTTGCAAGTCTCTTTTTCTACTTCTTATTCATATTCTGTCCCCTAAACATTAGAATATTTTAGTTCCAGTCAATGAATTATTTTGCTTTTCTTTCTACTTTTACTCACAAGTTGATTTTATCCAGTCACATGACTTTAGACATTTATATTTTGATCACTTCCAGATTTATGTCTATAGTCTAAACTGAAATGCACATTCTTATATCCAACTGCCTAATCAACACTGCCACTTGAAAGTTTAACAAGAATCTTAAAGTCAATACATCCAAAAATGAGTTTTTTACAATCTCCTCAAATCTGATGATTAATGTAAATACAAGTATCAACAAAAATTTAGCGTGTTAGTCTTCTCTATCTGCTCTTAGTCTTTTCTAACTCAGTGAATGGCAACTCCAAATTTCCTATTGCTTAGGTCAAAAACCTGGGACTAATTTTTAATTCCACTTTTCCTTTCAAAATGTACATTTAATCCATCAACAATCCTGTGGATTCTAACTTTTGCTCACATTGCGATCCTCCCTCATAGTATCCTGATTCTATGACCTGGATTATTGCCGGTAGTCTCCTAGGTTTTTCTGTGTCTATCATTGTGGTCTCAAGTCTGTTCTCAGCATGCAAGCTAGAGTGATTCTGTTATATCCTGTTAAATCATAAGTTAAATTATGTTATTTCTTCTTCTAAAAACCCCCTCCATGCATTTCTATCTCACTATAAATAAAATCCAGAATGTCACATAGATTCTATATCAATAGTGCATTGGCAAATGCTTAACAACCAGTTTTATATTAAAACAAAATTACTGTATATGGGTGTGAGTGATACCCACCAGTATACGTATGCACACATATTCATATTTAAAGTTTATTGTTTTAAAGAATTACTAGCATATAATTTACAAATATTACTTAAATATACAACACTTTTTTGAAAATATCAACGAACCTATTGATTCTTACAAAATGCTTTTATTGAATTTTGCCACTCTTGTATCCATAAGCAAACTATGGCTGCATTTGATGAATGTATTTACTTTCTTTTCTTTTTTTCTTTCTTTCTTTCTTTTTTTTTTTCCTGAGATGTGTCTCACTCTGTTGCCCAGTCTGGAGTGCAGTGGCACAATCTTGGCTCACTGCAGCCTGTGTCTCCCAGGTTCATCACTGAGGCGATTCTCCTGCCTCAGCCTCCCAAGAAGCTGGGATTGGATTACAGGTATGCACCACCAAGCCCGTCTAATTTTTGTATTTTCAGTGGAGATGGGGTTTCACCATGTTGACAAGGCTGGTCTCGAACTTCTGGCCTCAAGTGATCCACCCACATTGCCCTCGTAAAGTGCTGGGATTACAGGAGTGAGGCACCACACTCAGCCATGCGTTTAATTTCCACATAAATATTGATTGATATTTTTATGTATTTTAATAAGTAAAATGAAAGTGAAACAACAAAGAGGTATGTTGGAACATCACTGGTTCATCAATGACAGGAATGGCTTCTTCACTGAATCAGATAATAGTTTTCAAATAGTGGAAGGATATTTTGTCAATTTTTTACTATTCACAATGCGATGCGTACAGCCATGACAACCTTTTAGGTTTAATCTTGTATTGTTAACATTTTCTCCATCATATTTTTAAGTGTAGATAATCAGCAAAACAATAAACTAAGTTTTTATTTGAAGAATTTTTAAATTTCTGTAGTGTAAATATTCCCACCATGGCTGAAATGTGACATCACTAAATACAGAAATAGTACTAGATTTTTTTTATACTGAATTGCCATCATACAGATATAATAAATCTATACAAGCTAGAGTCATGGTTACATGTTATAGGACACATATTCAAGGCCATTCTTCTGTAGAGGGGGTAAGCTGCTCCCTGAAAAATGGTACCTGGATAATAGTTAGAGATTACAGATATAATTGCAAGGTGTCAGAATTAACCTAACAACTACCCATTACTTTGATTGAAAGGTTTGCGGCTTAGGGGTACGAGCGTATCTAAAACGACAACACAATTTTACATATGTGGAATTTGAACCTTTTATGTTTTCTCCAAGCATTTGTTAAAGTCTGGTTAAACTGTTTCAACACGGCCTCATCTTAAACTGTGGAGAACTGAAGAAAAGGCCTTTTACTGTGCTTGTAGAGAAACAGTAAAGGGAAGAATGACAGCTGAGCAAGTTAGGAGCTGTGGCAGTAAGTAGATAACAATCTGGAATCAGACAACTGGTTGAGATAGAAAATGAGAACAAGCTGGATGCGTGAAACATAGCCAGATTCCTCAGGGATTTCTAGAGATACATGAGGAAAGGAACTTGGTAGAAGATGGAGCTAGTAAAACATTGATAAATATTAACTACCTCAACTTGTAATGATAATGATGCAGAGAAATTGGTACCTTTGAATACTGCTGGTAAGAATATAAATTCACAGCATTTTTAAAGAGAGTAAAATGATAATATTTATCAAGAACTTAAACCTCTGGACTCAGTAATTTCACTTACAAGAATTTATTTTAAGGGAATGTTCAGAGAGGCACAAAGACTTATGTGCAATATTGTTAATAAGAGCATTATTTATAAGCACAAAAACATAAAAACAGGCAGGTGCGGTGGCTCACGTCTACAATCCCAGCGCTTTGGGATGTTGAGTGGGGTGGATCACTTGAGGTCAGGAGTTTGAGACCAGCCTGGCCAACATGGTGAAACCCTGTCTCTACTAAAAATAAAAAAAAAAAAAAGTCAGGCATGGTGGTGCACACTTGTCATCCCAGCCACTTGGGAAGCTGAGGTGGGAGAATTGCTTGAATCCAGGAAGCGGAAGTTGCAGTGAGCCAAGACGGCACCACTGCATTTCAGCCTGGGTGACAGAGCTAGACTCCATCTCAAAAAAACAAAATAAAACAAAGAAAACAACTTAAATGCTATGCAGACAAGACTAGTAGTAGAAGATATGGCATATCCATATAATGCAATACTACATGTGTATTATAAATCATATTTTCAAAACGTATTTCATGGCATTCGTTATTTATGAAGAATAATGTAAATTATCAAAAGTAGGATACAAAATTCCACAGGTACAATGACTCTAGTTTAAAAAGAGTAAAAATAGCAGAATAATAAAATAAAATGTCAGGACTGGCTATAAGTTGGAGGTAGAATTTTGGGTCACGTTTAGTTCTCTTTCTGTATTTTTTTCAACCATTCTAAAAAAATACATATATAAATATAAATTTTTTGCCATGATCATGCATTTCAAAGTTTGTATTTAACATAGTACATATACAGAGAATTGAACACATTAAGAGAAATTATCTTGCTGAATTTTCACAAACTGAATGAACCCCATGTAACTTGCACCATGATTAAGAATAAGATATCACCATCACCAGTCCTCTTCATGCACCCCAGAGGTTTTCACTCACTAACCCTCCCAATACATACACAAATGTGTGCATGCATGTGTACACACACACACACACACACAAAGCCATTTCCACCTAGGGTCACAATTATTCCAACTCTAACAGATTATATTAGTTTTCCCTGTTTATAAAGTTTACACAAATAAAATTATATAGCAGGTACTCTTGTGTCTTCTTTTTCCCAACAATTTAAATTGCATTTCTCTAGTTATGTTTCAATACCTGCTATGATTTGAGTATGTCCCTTCCAAATGTTGGTGTTGCCAGTGTGATGGTATTAAGAGGCTGAGCCTTTAAGATATAATTAAGCCATAAGGACACCTCCCTCATGAATGGGATCAGGTGCCCTTTTAAAGGGGCTTGACAGAGGGAGTTATTCCTCTCTTGCACTTCTGCCTTCCACTATTGAGGACACAACAAGAAGGTCCTCATCAGATGTTGGTGCCTTCATCTTGAATTTCCCAGCTTCCAGAACTGTGAGAAATAAATTTCTGTTCTTTATAAATTACCTAGCCTGAGGTATTCTGTTATAGCAGCCCAGACAAAGACAATAAACTAAAATAAAATCTTAGGATGGAAATAACAACACTTCTTGCCTTATGCAATGTCCTTTGTAAACAAGTAGCTCACAACACAGCTACTCTTCTGAAATGTCAAGATTGTGTAGTTTCTGGACAATTCTCCAAATCATCATAAATTGATCAATTAAAATACTACTACTAATAATGAAATAATAATAGTGATAGCAAAAATAACAAATAAGCCATACATTCTCAAGAGAAAAAAAGACAATCTTTGGGAATTTATTTTAAATTTATAGATTAGATTCTATGTGAAGATAAATTAGTTGAGAATAAAGCAAATCAATAAATTTTATGTAGTACCTACTATTTGCATGCACCTGTTACATGCTAGGCATTTTACATATATTGTCTCATTGTTTAACCTTTAAAATAAGCTTATGAATTAGAAGATAATATTCCTATACTACAGATAGAAAAGTAAGGCTCTGAGAGATTTCTGTGCAAGATTGCTAAAATGCAGAATAGAATATTGTAATCCAGGTTTGCCT